CCAACAGACACCAGTCATCGCTGTCTTGTGCTTTGTGCTTAGTCTGGGCCTTCTCTGGTGTAACTACACAGATCTGCACTGGTTCTGGATGCAGCCATGCATAACAGTTCAGGAATGGTATTACTGGCATGAGTCTGCACTCCCTGGAGGTGATTGGAATGGGAGCCAGGTGATGATGAAGGTGACGATGAAGGTGACAGAAGATGATGGCTGTGCAAGGACAAATGGATGTCTCCCAGAATTAGCTAGGGCCATGGTTTCTGGGTGAGTCAATGGATCATCTAGAAAAGAAGCTACATGTGGGGAAGCTATATATGAACTCTCAGCAGGATGAGAGCAAATGCCAAGAGAGCAAATGCAATGCTTTTAAATAACCAGCAACAGCTGAGGAAGAAGAAAAGCTGCCACTTTTCACCTCATTCTTGAGATGGTTGGTTTTGGGTTCTGCAACCTCTTCTAGTCTCAGCATTTCAATGAGGATGTTAAAAAGTGAAAATGGTTGAGAAGTAATGCTATCTGTGAAGACATCTCTAGTGATGAGCACTTAAATACCAGCCTTTCTACCTCAAAGGTAGAACACAGGAGAGTAAATCTCTGCCTGAGACTACCTGTGTGGAGAGGAAAATCTCCAGGCATCAGAGATTCTTCAGCAGTCTGTGAGTATCCTGGACTCAAAAATGAAACAAACTGAAACAGAGCATAGAGAGCTAAGCTGCACCATTTAGAAGAACTTATCCAGCAAATCTGCCATTCCTGCAAGTCTTGTAATCAATACTGCTGTCATAGAGAATAGCTCACTCAGAAATTAAATGCTAAATGAAGAACTCCATGAAATCCTATGCTCTGTATTATCTAAGATAGAGTAGATGATTGTAAATGTCCCCTCGGGTCTTAAAAATCTATGAGTATCGTTAAAAGGATAGGAACTTCTGGAGACTAAACAAGATGTCCTTAAAATGTTAAGGGATGTGCTTTTCTTGCAAGTTTTGCCTGAAGAATGACTAAATGATTTAGCCTAGAACTGGAAATAAGGTTGCAAAACTATCAAGTAAGCAAGCCCTAGAAATATCCAACTTCCTGCTAAATTTCTATTTTCCTTAACTCCATGTGAAAGCATACACAGCCAACAGAAAAACTTTGGGCTTGAAGGGGGAAGAGTAAATCTCAACGGGGACACGGAGAGGAGACCAGCTCCTCCACAGTCACATCTTGTGAATCACAGATATTATTACACCCAGATGTACACCAGTGCTCTACAGAAATCTATTCTTTGAGGCTCCCCAGGTTCTGATGTCCTGCATAATCATGAGAGAGAAGTGGTGTGGCAATGCATTTCTGCACTCTGGGACCTGGATAGTGCATACTGCTTAGTTCAGCCTCCTTATTAACTAGCTGGAGTTTGTCATTCTGAATGTCAGGACAGTTTTATAATGTGGGGTTCCAGAATGACATGTTGTCTAATCCTCATTTCCTTGGGAGGTTTTTTTCTCCATTGCTGCAGCTAGCCATGTAGCAGAGCACAGAAAGCCAGGCATTCCCATAAAGCTCATGCTATATGGCTCATCACTGCAAAATATTTTCCATCGTATCACTTCAAGTAGATGCTTAAGTCACTGGGAACATAGCTCATCCTCTTTATGGAGCTGTTCTTCATTCAGTGAAAAGGGGTTTCAGGACCATCTCTGACATTCACAGCAGAACTTCCCTCTTCTGCACAGATCAGCAAGGGTCAGGGCTGGTTAAGACCTTATTTTCTGCAGTTGGACCTGTTGCAAGGCTTGTCCTCAAACTGCCAGCATCAAGGAGGTCTTCAGTTTCAATATCTTCAGCACATTCTCATTTCAGATGGGCAAGAAATACAGTGTGATCACATTTATGAGCACCGCATAACCACAAAATAAGCCTAGCATCAGTTTCTTCCTAAGTGGTGCCTTTGGGAAGCAGTGTCTCAATTTTCCTATACTTTGAGAAGACACTGTCCTCCTCCCTCCCTCCTAATAGCTGCTTCTCTGCATCCTTCTCTGGGCCATTCCTTCCTTATCAGAGTTCTTACCCAGCCTGGCACTAATCCTACATACAGGACACTGGCAGCTCTGGTCTTCTGAGTTCTTTCAGTGTTTTCCAGACAGACAGCAAAGTGCTGCTGTTGAATCTAAACTACAGAGTGAGTACATGGTGGGGAGGATATGACCAGTCTATAGCATATCCTGGAATTACTTTCTTTTTTTTAAACAATAATTTGCTAGGAAATTGTCATTTAATTCCCGTGCTTTAGCATGAGCTTAGAAGGAAATAGAGTTTGATTTGAACTAAATTGCTGCTGCTTTCCGAGGTCCTTGCATACAGCCCCTGAGCTACAATGCAAATAATAAACATCAGCAGCTGATGACAAATGAAACTGAAGGTTGGAGGTCAGATACCCCATCCTCCAGAGTGCCTGTGAATTGCCTTCACTCCCTTTGCAGCTGCCTGTCTCTCCCTGAGACCCAAGCAGTACTCGATATGCAGCACAACCACTGTTAGGGCAGCACAACACTGGTGCAGAGAATGATGCTACCACCGCCAGGCCAGGTGTGGATGCTAGGGGATGGATGCTCAGGGGATGGATGCTGGGGGATGGATGCTCTGGGCACAGATGCTAGGGGATGGATGCTAGGGCAATAGATGCTGGGGGGTGGATTCTCAGGGGATGGATGCTCGGAGGCGCATTGGCACGCACACAGCATTCATTAAAAGCGGATTAGGTGGAACAAACAGACCAATGCTGCAGAAAAGGAATGAATGCAGAGCGCAGGAATTGTTGAAGGAGTGGGTGACAGGAGCTGACTGGGGAAGCTGGGGTGTGTGTGCGGAGCCGGGCTCTTTGCCTCAGCAGTCCCTCTTAAAGAACCATCAGTAAAAACGATCAGAGGGTATTTGGTGACAGGAAGATTAACCAGGCATGAAAAGTTAAAAGAACGCTGCTCAAAAGTGAGTTAATTAATTTTTTAGGATGAAAAGCAGCTTTCCATGTTAGCCTCTGGGTTCCTCTCCCCCAAACATTAGACAAAATTGCATTGTTTACAAAAATTTATTAATACAAACTTTACACACTTTATATAACAGTTATCAAAGTCCTAATTATAGATATCAGGTGTGTCATAATACTTTGCTGAAGGTCTTTTTATATCCATTTGCACACAAAATAAGTTCTCTGAGACTAACATCTACCTAAACTATCACTGCGTCTCAGGTCTGCTCGAGGCTCGGTAAGGCTGTTGGCGTTCCTAAAAAGTACACAGAGGATAACCGAGGTGATCACTTGGTGATGCTCGCAGCTAGCCACGGAACTCGAACAGAGAAGGTCAGAAACAAAACTTCAGGAGAGCCCTATGGCATCACACCACAGCCGACACGAACACAGCAAACTCTGCCCATCGCCAAAGAACAGAAAGAAGTACGACTAAAACGCAAGCCGATGTGTTGCAGCATCGTAGGGCCACTAGATAGCCATCCGTCAACTCGTGGCGATTGACAAGGTGAAGAGAAGGCACGAAAGCTGCAAAACCGCTCCCCGCGTCCCTCGGCCAAGCTGCGGGGCGGGCCAAGCTGTGGCAGCGGGGTTCGGAGCCGGCCCGCCCCGTCGGGCCCTGCCCCGTAGCGCAGCCCCGCAGCGTGAGGAGCCGGGGCCGCCCCCGGGCTCGGGCGGTGCCTTTGGGAGCGGCCCGTCCGCGTCCTCCTCCGGAGCCCGCCCCGAGCGCTCCGCGGGTGCGCGCCGAGACAGGAGTCCGTACAGAGAGAGGTGGGGTGGAAATGGTTTATCTCGTTCAAACCGGACCACAGGTGAACACTACACATTCTTGTATGACAAAAGGTGGGTTTTATGAAATCAATTTTACTAAGCAATAAGCCAGAATGTAGAAAAATACAATTTTACCTCCAAACTCAATAAACAAGGAACAAAAACGTTCGTCGTAGTGCATAATTCTTTAGTGGTAGCTACAACAGGGGTTCCTAGACTTGTACAACAGAGCTTGCATAAAACAGAACAAAGGAGTGAGAGAGCGTTCACAACCATTTTGTCGGGTATTTTTTTTTTTCCCCGAAAGAACATAACCTGAAAAGGTGACTCGGGCGGCTTAACAGCGCTCGGAAAGTGCCAAGAGAGGGGGAGAGGCGGGAAGGGCTGCGGGAAAAGAGCAAAAGAATCCAAGGAAAAGAGCGACTCCGACCGACAAACGCACAGGCGAGAGACTCGCTGGCTGCGGGCGGGGGGAGCACGGAGAGCAGCTCAGAGCCACGCGCGGCGCTTCGCAGCCCGCACCGGAGGGGGAGCGGGGCCGCTCCCTCTGCCCCGCACGGCTCCGCACTGCGCCGTGGGCGCTCCGCCCGCAGCCGGGAGAGCGGTGCGCTTGGCACCCGCTGTCCTCGCTGCGGGTCGGCATCGGGGGGCCTGGAGGGCTTGGGGGTCTGATTTTTGGTTGTTTTGTTGTTGTTGTTGCTGTTGCTGTTGGTTTGCTCGTTTAGCTATTCTCCCTCCGATAGGCACAATTTGCATCGAGCTGTTGCTAAATCCTCCTCTGCGCTCATCGCTAGAGGAGGCACTGATACGGATAGGACCAGAATCAAAGAAAAAGGGGGAAAAATAGAGAGAGAGATCGAAATCTCGAGGCCAGGGGGACCCCATCCTGCTGAGCCCTCCCTATGCACAGCGGCACACGGTGAAAACTGAGGTCTTCGCCCCCGTGGCGAATAAAAACAGTGCCCTTTTCGTTTCCGTTACAAAAATAGGAGCGCTGTTCAAAGCGGTGATTGTCTTTTTTCGTCTATTTATTTTCTATAAAAACATAAACAGCTCAGGCGAACTCTCGTCCTGGTGCAGCTTGGTATGAAGAATCGCTCTTTAGTATTCGTAGCAGTATTTATATATATATATTTATATCTCATATATAACTCAAGGATTGGTCCACAAAGTAGATCTGTGCGTTTCTCTAGTGCTTTCGTACAAAAGAAAAACCATATTATTATCAAAATATTCATTTAATGGCTTTACTTCATACATAAATACATGTTTGGGGAACACGGGAGCGGCGGTCTTTCCGTCACTTTGGAAATGACTTTTGTTTGGGTTTGGGTGGTTGGGTCTCTCTCTCTCTCTCTCTCTCTCAATCTCTCTCTCTCTCTCTCTCAGGACTACGCACGGCAGCGGCGGTTGCTCATCGCTACAAATACGCTACTCGGCGTCCTTTGTTTTTAACTCTTTGTTTATACCTTTTCCCCAGGACGGCCGCTAAGTATTTCTTGACAGCCATTTGTTTCCGGTAGCGGCTGTAGCTGTCCGTGAAGATGCCGTCTATGTGCCGCTTGCTGAGCGGTTCCGCCTCGTCCCCCAGGCCGCTGCTGGCACCGCTGCAAAGCACCGAGAAGGACACAACCATCAGAAGGAGCCCTCCCTCCGAGCCCCAACCCCGGCCCTAACCCCCAGCCCCGGCCCTGCATCGCGCGGCAGACAAAGGGCGGGGCGGTGCGGAGCGAGGCGTCTCCCCCACGCCATGCATACATGCATACATCGCGTTCCCGGAGGGGTTCGCTACGATGGCACCACCCGGGGCTGCCCCGCGGGAGGGACGGCCGAGCCCCAGGTGCGGCTGCTGCTCGCTCCGGCAAAGCACCGCGGGGAAATGGGGCCGCCCCGCCCCGGCCACCGCCCGCCGCGCTTTGTTCGCTCCCGTCCCCGCCGCAGCCCTTACCCGACCCGCTTGGCCATCAGGGAGTGAAGGTATTTCCTGGCGGACAGTTGGCCCAGGACTTTCCTGTAGGCTTTGCTGAAGATCCCATCGGCGTGCCTGCCGGGGAGCACGGCCCGTCAGCGCCCATCACCGAGGCTCTCCCTGCGGCACTGGGCCGCCGCCGCCCGTCCTCCCCGCATCCCCCCCGGCCCCGCTCCCCGCAGCACCGCTGCCCTTCTCCTCCCTACCCGGCACCCCGGGCGGAGGTACCCACCCCGGGCCCGGCTTCATCACCCCTCCCCGACTCCGCGCTGGCCGGGTGGGTCGGCATTACGATTATTTTCGCCCGTTGGGTGTTTTCCCTTTCCCCCCGCCCCGGTCCTATCCGCCGCCCCGCCGTCACCTCTTTCCCAGCGGGTAGTACAGCGCGTACACCTCGCCCAGCGCGGACGGCGGCCCGGCCACCCCCAGTGGCTCCTGATCGTAGGCGAAGTCCTGCAGGGTGTTCCCGTCCTCGTCGTACACCTCCTCCTCCAGCCTGCGGTAAGCACGGGCGGGGCTCAGCCGGACGTCTCCAGCCCCGTCCCCGCCGCGGGACCGTGCGCCGACGGAACGGGGCTGCGCTCGGCCCCACCGGGCTCTCCCCGCGCCCCGCTCCTCCCCGCCGCGCCTGGAACCGGGGTGGGGCCTGCGCCCGCCGCTGGGTTTCGTTGAGCGGTTCCTCTGCCCTTCGGGATCTCTCCGCTTTGCCCCCGCCCCAGCCCCTCCCCGCCGCTCTCCCTGCGGTGCGATGTAGGTCACGGTACGATCCGGGCGGCTATTTTTGTCTGGGAGCTTTAGCAGAGGTATTAATAATAGATGCCGCTAAAGTGTTCGGCTCCTGCTAATAACGGAGCTGAATGGAAGGAGCCGACAGGAGGGAGCTGGGGGCCTCCCGCGCCCCACGGCTGCTGCTTCCCGCGGGGAGCCCCGCCGGAGGCACCCCACAGATGGGACTCTGTAGAGGGCACCCCATAAAGGACATCCCGCAAAGGAAACCCAATAAAAGGCGCCCCACAAATGGCTCCCTGTAAAGGGCACTCTACGAAGGACATCCCACAAATGACACCCCACAAATGGCACCCCGATAAAGGACACCCCACAAACGACACCCTACAAATAACAGCCCGCGAAGGACACCCCACAAGTAGCACCCCACTGAGGACACCCCGTAAGAGGCACCGTGCAAACGACACTCCACAAATAGCATCCCGCAAAGGACAGTCCAGAAAGAAGTCCACGTAAGGGACACCCAACAAAAGATACCCCACGAATTGCACCCCATAGAGGACACTCCACAAAGGACACCCCACAAAAGACATCCAATAGAAGACACCCCACAAAACGACACTCCACAAACAACACCCCGCAAAGCATACCCCACAAATAACTCCCCGCAAAGGACACCCAGCAAAGAACATCCAATACACGATACCCACAAACGACACTTCCTCTGACACCCGCCCCGCGGGACCCTCCGCTCAGAGTTCAGCACTGCGGGGCGGGACAGCGGCCCCGGCCCCAACCCCCCCCCCCCCCCCCCCCCAAAGCCCGAATGGGCTGCGGGCAGCCGGGAGCACAGCCCCAAATGGGAAACTCCGTGTGACACCCCGACGCGAGCAGCAACCCCGACTATGTAACACAGAAAAGAAATGCGAGCACCTCACGGCCGGGGGGGAGGTGGCATAAAGACGGGTAAATGCTGAGGGAGGGGGGACGGAACCCTTGCAAACTCTCTATGGATCTCGCATCCTCACGCCGCCCCGGCCCCAGGCAAGTACACAGTGTACCCCCAAAGCGGAGGGGATCCGGGTTACTCGGACAGCCCCGAGGCTTGGGGGAAACCCACCTGAGCGCCGGGTACTGGAGTCCAACGGCGGGTGAGCAGTAGACGCTGCAATGCATTATTATGCCATAAACCAGAAGGGCTAGGAGCGCTTTGCTACACATCGCCACTCTGTGCGGGAGGGAAAGGAAAAGCGCTGTCAAAAAAAAAAAAAAAAAAAAAAAAAAAGTAATAAATTAATTAATTTTTTAAAAAAGAATGAAAAATAAAACTGATAAGACAATTAAAGAATAAAGTAAAAATAAAAATATAAAAAAATATAAACAATAAGAATCCCCCACGACCCATAGAGCGCGGCGGTGCCGTCGCCCGCCCCGTCGGTGCCCTCCCGCTACGGGAGGCCCCGCGAGCCGCCTCGGGTCCTTACCATGAAACTGTGACACCCGGCACTGAGAGCGTGTGGCTGCGGAAGGAGAAGGGAGAGAGGGAAAAGGAGAAAAACCCCAAAGAGGAGGGGGAAAAATAGATCTGTCTCCCAAGTTGCGGCCGAAAAGAGTCAAAGGGCTGCCGGCATCGCCTTTCCTCTGGGCGAAGGATGAAGAAGGCGCAGAAGCAGCAGAGAGTTGTTGGATGGTTTTAGGGGAATCCACTCCGACAAAAAATAAGAGGGAAAAAAAAAAAAAAAAAAAAGGGGGGGGGGGGGGAAATCGAAAAGGCCAAAAAAAGTTTTCAGGCAGCCGAGCAGATCCGGAGCGGAGTCTGCAGGGGAAGGGAGCGGGGCGCGGCGCCGGAGCGCGGGGCGCGGGGAAGGGACGCGGAGCCGGCCGGGAGCGGAGGCGGGGAGCGGGCTGGCTGCGGGCGGTGCTGCCTTCCCAGCTCGCTCCCCTCTCTGCGCGCCTTCAGCCTCTTCTCCTCTCCCCGCTCGGCGGCTCCCAACTTGACCAAGCCTTCTGCAGCCCCCCGGCTGCCACGCAATTAGCGACGGAATCTTTGCAAACACCGCGCTTCGGCAGGAGCCCTCTCCGTCAACATTCGCTCCCTCGGAGGAGGACGGGCAATATTGGCTGTTGCCCCCGTGGCGGCGGACGGATTTTTATTCATGAATCAAATGCTTTTTTTTTTTTTTTCTTTTGCTTTTTTTTTTTTTTTCTTTCTCCCCCAGTCACGTAATAATCGGGTATCAGAAAAGACGTCACCACCCCAATTCCTCAAGGAACACAGCTCGGTGTCGTCCTCCAGGATGAGCTGAAAGGGAGTCATAGGGCTTCTCATAAACACCAGCTCACGCTTCACCCCCACTCCCCCCCCCTCCGAAAAAAAAAAAAAAAAAAAAAAAAAATACTAAGAAAAAGAAATACTAATAATGTAAAAACCCACTGGTGGGAAGGGCGGAGGAGGGCGGTGCGGTGCGGCTGGCACGGAGGTTTCCCCGCGGCCCTGCTCCGCGCCCCGGCGCAGGCATTGAGGCCCCCACAGGGGACCCCATTCCCACCGGGCTTTGGAGGCGGGGAGGGTCTTTTTATTATTATTCCCCCCCCCTTCCCTTATGTATTTATTTTTTTTTCTATTGGAGGATTCTCAGTGTTGTTCTCACCCCCCACACACTTCCCCGGGGGAAGGCAGCAGTTCGGAAACCGCACCGCAAAAGTTGCTTTGCGGGAGGGAAATCCTCGCTCCGCGTCCCAGCCGCGTCCCCGCGGAGCTCTAAGCGCATCCTGCGGCTCTCGGCCCCCTCCGCGCCCCCTCCATTCATTTCCGAGAATTACCCCCGGAGATCGAGGTTGCAAGAGCCATTACCGCACATTTTAATTATTGGGATCATAAGCAGAGAGTTCAGGAAGCGGCAATAATTTCGTTCTCCTGTTTCCTTATTGGAATGGGTTGTTTTGTTCTTGTGTTTGGGTTTTTTTTTTTTGTTGTTGTTGGTTTGGATTTTGTCTTGTTTTGTTTTGTTTTGTTTCTGGCTTTTTTTTCTTTTTGGTGTAACGCGCCGCGATGAGTTATTGGAGCCCGGATCGATTTCTCAAAAACAACGGCAACAAAAAACACAGCAGACAATTACACTGCTATTACGGTCGTTTACTCTTGCGAGATTTTCCGGAGATAAAGGAAATTTAGAACCGATGAATGATTCCCCTCGAAATGGCTGCGGACGGACGGCAGCGCGCTGTTCGTCGGGCCCCGCTCCGCACCAAGAGGGACGGGACGGAACGGGCGTGGGCCGCGCTGCGGGGCCGCTCCATCGCAGGGGCTTCCCCGGCGGCGGGAGCTGCGCGGGAGCGGAGCCAACGCGGAACGGAGTCCGTGAGCGGAGGGCGCCACCACGCGGCCGCCGCCGCCGTCGGGAGAACTCGGAGAGCCCCGTCGGGGGGCTGGGGAGGGGGAGCCGGGAAGTCCTGGCCCTCGGCGTGAGGGCTGCTGCGCAGGGGGTGTCAGGCTTGGGGGTGGTTGGGTTTGGGTTGGTTTAGGGCTTGTGGGTTTGTTGTTTGAGTTTGGTGGTTTTTTTTTTTAATTATTCCTGTGGTGTTCCTGTGTTTCTGAGTGACGCCGGGATGGTGTCTGTGGTGAACAGACCCTGGTTTAGGGCAAGTGAGTAAGTTGCAGGTGATTCATGCCAATAAAATGCTCATCGCATCATAGCGCACTCCGCGTGTGTGCAGTGCAGATATGCCTATGGCACGACCACCACTCAGGCTGAATAAGTAAAGGTTTAAATCTGGCCTCCACGTTGAAGTACTTTTCTAGGTAGCTCTGTAATTCAAGGCTGGGAGAGATTTCACGTTCCCAATGCTTGTCTCCAAAGCAAATTCCTAAGGCAGGATCCAAAGAAAAGTAGTTTTTTTACTGGCAGAATTTCCTTCATCTTCTTCCCATTAGCTTAAATTAGGCCTTCTAATTTACCTGACTACACTGTTTTAAAGATCTGCTTTATTAACTAAAGCATTAACATTCTGAAGGTATTTACGGTGGTGCTTGCAGCCTCTGAGCCTTGTTAAGCCTGACTGGGACTAACTGCTGTAAAGTATGTGATGTAACATTGCATCACCTACCACGATGGGCACCTTTTCTGCTATTCAGAAAACGTCTTTTTTTTTTTTTTTCATATTTATGCATATTAAAAAATATGTCCAAGTGCAATCTATCAAACTGTCAGGAACTATATTGATCCATAAAGGCAGATGACATCTCACACACACCTGTTGGAGGTGCAGCCACTCTGCTCACGTTCTCTCTGTATGTCCCTGTTTTTCTATAAGGAACATGGAAGACTGATGGAACTGGACTATGTAATCTTATGAAAGGTTATACATTTTTCCTCCATTGTATAAAGGAATGAGTATTTCTTTATCTGAAGCAAAGAGCCCTACTAGCTCTCTCTCTCAGGCACACCTCTATGGATTTATCAACTTCTTGTTTTTACCTTTCATAGAATCACAGAATCATAGAATGGCGTGGGTTGAAAGGCACAGCAATGATCACCCACTTTCAACCCTCTGCTATGTGCAGGGTGGCCAACCAGCAGACCAGGCTGCCCAGAGCCACATCCAGCCTGGCCCTGAATGCCTCCAGGGATGGGGCATCCACAACCTCCTTGAGCAACCTGTTCCAGTCTGCATCAGCTCAAAGAGCAAAGCTGTTACCCAGAGTTTTCATCCACTTGGGGACATCCTGGAGTGGAGGTACAAGCTACAGATAAGCAGAGTGCAACAAGCAGGATCAGCATTTGGGCTGTAGCTCTAGAGACCTGTTGAAAAAGGAAGGATCTGAGGCAGAAATTTAGCCTAAAATCCCAGAAGGGGAAGGAACATGTAGATGTGGCACCGAAAGACATGGTTTCGTGGGCAATATTGGTGATAGGTGGAGTATTGGAGCAGATAATCATAGAGGTCTTTTCCAGCCTTACTGATTCTATGATTCTATGAAATGCATTGGCCTGACCCAGAGGCCTCTCTTGCAGACTGGTTCCATACCATTCTTCACAGGTGACTCTTCATAAGTGCTAGACAATTGCATCCCACAGCAAATTCTTTTGGAGGACTTTTCCAATAATTCCTTGCTGTCTTTTATGACCTTAACTCTTTTTCCAAGCAAAAGCTTGAAGGCCATTCTCAAGCACATTCAGAGAAAAAGGACTGATTTTTTCTCCCTTTCTGAAGTGATGAGGCACTGCAGCATTCCTCAGGCAGGCAGTGTGGGCATACAAGGTGCAGTCACCCTGCTCTTGTCCCTGCTCAGAGCTCAATGGTGACAAAGGCAGAGGCTCAGCAGCACCCTGCCAGCCTGCCTACACAGGAGCTCAGTGCTCAGCCCAGTGTGACGGGTGTTTTTACCCCCATACAGTGAAATAAGAGATGCAAAGGAGGAGTCATTCCTATCAAAACACAAAGGCAGGGAGAGCACTTTCTAGATTAATGGAAAGCCTAACTGCAACTAACAAGGGGGTGCCACTATGCCACACATGTGGCAGCTAATTTCCTTGGAAGACCAATAGATGTATTTATAATCTCCCATTTTTTCATCTGGATAAATTTGTATTTCACAAGAGAATAAAAATATCATTTTCCTGGATCCTTTTTAAGAACTGTTCTTCGATCAATCATTTGAACAGTAGAGAAATAAATTATGAAAGGCAAACAAGACCAAAAAGTCACCTTTTGGAGATGTAATGTTCTATGGGCCCCTCCTCTATGCTAACACCAACAACTTGCAGATTGTCATTGCAGGCCTTGACGGCAGCCCATGGGAGGAACAACAGCCTCTAGTGCTGGCAGCAGACCCAGGCCTGTTCCCACCCTTATTTCCATTTGTGTTCAGGGGAGAATAAATCCATAAATAGATGGAATAAGCAAACTTTCACAGAGCTGAGCTGCTGAGCTACGATCATTTACACCAGACAAATACTAGCCACGATTTCTCTGTGCTCCAGGTTGTTTGTCACAACACTGTAACCCAGTGTGAATGACAAGTACCAGTTATGTACCCAAATGTGCTAGGGTTTAGGGAACACCTTTAAGGTCAGAGGCGCTGCCTCATACCCATGTCCAGAAACTAAAACACGTCTGTAGTTTTGAGGTATCACTAATGGCATCGCTAAGGTTATTCATAGTTTAGAATTACCAGAAATAGTTGGAACAAATTAATAATGAATTAGAACATTTCTTAGTGTTGCAGGAGCCAGGGAGAATAAATAGAATCATCTATATTTTCCTATTACAAAACAGCATGCAGCCTATTACAAAACACCAATCTGGTGGTGCTGGTGCTAGAGGAGTGCCAGATCCTGGCAGTGCAGTCCCAGGTGGAGAGCCCAGTCCCTAAAGGGATTGTGTGGGGCAGCCTGGGGTGGGAGGGGAGGGATGAACCCATAAGAGAGGGGGTGAGGACCGATCCCACTGCAGTGGAGCTCAGCCCACCAGGGCCAAACATCACTCAATAATTCCAATTAACCTCTCTGAAGATGGCAGAGGCTGGTGACACAGAGCCTGGTGTCAGAGCAGCATATTGCACTGACAGACTCACAAAAGCTGTCTCATTAAGGAGAGTGAGAAAGGAATATAAGACCTCCCTAGGCACTCTGTGCACCCCACGGTGCCCAGGCAGGATAGACAGACACCAGGGCCTGCAGACAGCACATGCTTGGGCGGCTGCTGCAGCTGGCCTGTGGGAAGCATCAGGACACCCACACAGTGTTGCACCCAGCTAGGTTACAGGCTGAGTTCCTCCATATGCAGCTCTCCTTGTGCCTTGCACCAATAGCCACATCTCTGGCCATGGAACGCTGGTGATTATCTCGGCACCCAGTTGCCTTTAGACTTGATTTCTGGGCTTCCCAGATCCCAAAACACACCATAACCAAACAGCAGGAACACCCCCACAACCCTACAACATACTGGGGGACGCTTAGCGTCTAAGAACTATCATTGCAAGGCAGCATCATGCTTTTTAAGGTTATTTATATTCATCTAGCATCAGTAAAGTAATTGGGTCTACTTAGCCTAAAGAAAAATAAGTTATTCTTATCTTTTATACTTAAAGAAAGCATCAAGATGTTCTTTTGTGTGTGATTACAGCCTTGATCCATCTCTATCCTCTAATAAAATGCATTTCTGTAATACTGAGGCAATTAATCATTTATACAAAATTGGATTACAATCTCCATTACTCAAAAAATCTTTAAAGTCAGGCTTGCTGTCTTTCTGAAATATCTTGAGCTATTGAGCAAAATTCCTTGGCCTGCCTTATGCAAAGGTCAGATGAGATGTTAGTAATGGCCTCTTGTAATGTCAAAAATCAGTCTCTGACCCTTGTAATGCCACAGGAAGGGCTCTCACTGACTTCAGACAGAACTGGGCAAGATTTATTGACCTTTCTCACTAGGAATGAGGGCTGTCTGCAGAAACTCCTATGTGATTTCTTAATTCCCAGTACGCGTCTGTTGGGCTCATTATGCAAATACTGTTGCTTTTGGTCCTGTTTGTATTTCACAGCAGATTACAGAGCTCAACACAACCAGAGGTTGCCAGGACATTGCAGGACTAAACTTTCTCTGTCAATCCTCCAATCTGTTTTGACTCTCCAGAGGAAATGGGATTTGTCCACAGTAACCACTGTGGCTGAAATAATAAACTGCATTACTGTCTGGATATGTTTAAAATCCTGAAACTTTAATATGATTTTTGCACTGTAGTGTAATTCCTTTTCCTGGGGCTTTCTTGCTACCAAGTGTAAGTATATTATTGACTTCGCATTTGAATCCTATGGGCTTTTAGAAAAAGGAGTTAATTTAATATAATTTGGGGGTGTTTCTCTCAGATATTTCACTCCATGTTGAAAACAGCTTTCTTCTAAGCCTCAGCAAGATTTGTGATCTCCCTAAAATATATGCACTGTTCTTGTTTCAGTGGTACAAAGTGAATGTTTTACCACTGGATAAGCATCTTTTGTTAGCTTCTCTGATTTAAAATGTAGGAGTGACAAGAATTTGCTCTGTGACACAAAAGACAAGAAGTAAGAACACAGAATTACAGAAATAGCCTTATCTCATTTCCTAATGATAACCATTTAAGATTGTTTAGATTTTGGTTTTGCTGTTTTTAATAAGGACTCTAAGGGAATATGTTTCATTTATCTTATTGGAAAAATGTATGTATATTCATTCCAGACAAAATAAAACTGTTGTCAATAACATGATTTATTCAAATTTCTCATCTATGGGAAGAAAGTAACTCTGTTCTGAATATATCTACTGATTGTAACTCCTCAGATCAGTTCTGCCAGCTCTGTGCTGGACTAGGGACTGCTTTTTCTGTACTGCTCACTTCCGTATCTTCCATTTCTTTCTTCATATTCTCAGTGTAGAATGTTTTCATATTACCCCGAAAGCTTGAAATACAAGGTAAATATAGGAATATGGGTTTTAAGTTCTGTTTATGAAAGGGAAAAATATCCCCACATCACAGAGTTTGGAGAAAAGGCAATCTGCAATTTGCTGATGACGTGCACACACGAATTCTATCGGTTCTTCATCATTATAAAGTATTCTACAATTATGTTGCAACTTTCATCCAAAAGCATTACTGCTAATTTCACAATGCTCTTAAAAGGCACGCATTTATATACCTAATCTATTTATTTTACCCAGGACAGCATGAAACAGAGCAAGTTCAGTGCCTTCTTGGGAGCACATAGCTAAAAGGCAGAATGGCTCTAAAATAAATACCTGATCCCACTGACGTCAAAGGCAACACTCCTGGTGACTTCAGTGACATCAGAGAACTCCACATTTTTGACAACAGTGTGGGTTTGCTACTCAGGGGTTTCACCTCCTCTTGCCTCCAAACACTCAGTGCCATTAATCTGTAAGGTAAATATCCACTGATGGGTTCTGCCAAGGATTTCGAGAAGTACAACATTCAGCTTCTTTAAGAGTGATTTCAGTAAAAATGAATTCCATTTCACCCTCCAAAATGGTTGTCTCTGAGTGAGTGTGGCCTCCACCAGTCTGGGTAGAAAGAAGCATCATTTACAATGGCAAAGAAAACTATACATCCAAACCAGAAAATCTATGGTGAAAGACAGGAAGCATTGGTGATTTTCTGTAGTTGTTGTTAGCTTGAAGATGATTAATAACCTTGAATTAAACTAAAAATAATTAACTCCACGTTGCTCATCCTCAGAGAACAAGGTAATCAAAGGAGACTTTGCAACTGAGCAAAAGCTGTGCTCCAGAAGGAATCTTTCCCCATCTTCCAGCGTTGATTAGTGAACAGCACTATTAGTCATTACGCTCAATATAGTTGATGTCCTTCCTTGATTTTCCTGGGGGAAGAAGAAGCAGTAGGGAGAGCTGAATCACGAGTTTTCCTCATATTTTTCTTAATGAAAAATCATTTGCACTGCTGTTCTGGAACACAGCACCAGGTAATGTCAGCACATTAGAAGATGACAAAAGTTCCCAAGCACAGATCCACAGACTAAACGCATAAACCTGCTATTAAGATGTGAAGAGAAAAGAAACGTCCATTGATTCCTCCTGTTTTCAACGCTTGTATTTGGTTTAAGTTAACACTTTCTCATGATCATTCTTTTCTATTTCTATAAATAGCACCCAAGAATGCATGATTCGTGGTCATGAAAACTTAGGAATGGTTAACAAGTAACAGCAGTACAAAACCTCAAATCCTTGTGGTATTCTGTGCTGTGCTACATTAGTCCTAAGCTTAAATGAGCCTGCAGTGAAAGGGAAGCTCATCATCAAGAAGAAAATAGCTTCTCTGCTCCAGTTAGACAATATAAAACTGAAAGGTCACAGAGATATTAAAACTCTTTTTTTTTTTTTTTTTTTTTTTTTAACTAGCAAGAAATAGGAAAAGTGTGAGGGGGCTATGGGTTTCTTTCTTGTGAAGTTCTTATGAAAGGAGCAAAGTGCAGCCGGGTGCAGCTGCCTAATTCCTTGGAGACCTGTGAGCAAAGAAGCATTTGCAGTTGCTTTGACTCACAGCCTCTGAGTGCTGCATCCCCAGACTGTTGCTCGCTGCTAACATCCTTGTGTGGCCTCGAGTCCTGGTTAGAAACGCAGCAAGTTGTAAATACGTAAATGTAACAAATGGGACTGTTGAATTCTTGGGACTTAGCTGCTAGCAGAATCTGCATGGCAACAGGTATATGAACTTTTCACTTCACATTGTCTTACACTCTCACATGACCTTTAGGAAAACTACCCAGGGATAAGAACTCTTCTCTCAGGGGGACAGCAGAAACTGCATCTCTGATGGAGACCTGTAAACAATGTTCAAGCAATGCACTGAAAACTGTGTTACAGGGAAAACTCTGGCTCCAACAGAAACAATATTACACAGAGTACAGTAAAGTTTGCATAAATGCACTTCAAAGAAGCCCCATGATACACTTTTTAATAACCCAGCCTCAGATTCCCTCTCACTCTACCACATCCTCATGACTCAATTTCACCTCAGCGGACTCTGCAGCAGTACAAGATGCATCCATCCATCCACCCCATCCCATCCTGTCCTGTCCACCCCCAGCAGCCAAAACCTGCTGTCACAGTCATCACGTATGACCCGAGTATGACACATGCTCCAAGGTTAGCTTTATTTGCCAAGTCTCCCACCACAGTCTCACCTATGTTTCAATGCAGGATCATAGAATCATTTGAATCACAAGGGGTCCTTAAAAGCCATCCAGTCCAACTCCCCTGTAATGAACAGGGACACCTACAGTTCTGTCAGATAGCTCAGAGCCCCGTCCACCCTAACCCTGAGTGTTTCCAGGGATAGGGCACCCACCACCTGTTTGGGCAACCTGTTTGAAAAGGCAGCTGCAACCTCCCGTGTCAGTGCTTTTCCACACTTTATTGTATCTGCTATACATCAGGTAGAAAGCAGCAATATTAGGAGAGCTGCAAAGGGAATGTCTGCTGCTCATTTGGGCTCTCGCATCCCTGCTGCACAAGACCTGTTGCAGCCAGGTGAGTGTTTGCTTTAGGTGTTGCACTGTGTTTACTCTTCAGACACCACTGACCCTATAAGACAGAAAGAGATTGTTTTCGCATAAGGAACAGAAGCCCTCACAGCCCCTGCTAGCAGCTCTGCAGACTAGGGGGATTGGCACACAGTGGGAGCAGGCAGCCAGCTGCTACCTGATGGCATATGCTTCATCAAGAAAGCACAAAGCCTTCGTGCCACCTTGTGGCTGCTAGATTACAGCTGGCACAGGGCGATGCCATCCTTCCTTCTGCTCCAGGCCTTCATAATGAAAGCACTTTACCTCCTGCAAGCTATGGGGCAGCCTATCCCTCATTTTATGGCAGCTGCAAGCCCTCTCCCTAGGTACCTCCTTCAGCACATTAAGGGATCTGAGTCACCCAGAAGAGCATCTCAAAGTCACATCCCCACATGAGGGTACATCCACAGGCTCCCATCCTGCAGCTCTGCCCTAGGCCCGTGCGGGAAATCGCCTCCCAGATCAGGTACACAATGTTCCCGGCCAGCTCCATGGCCAGCCATGGTGAGAAAAACATTTTCTTGTTCTGTCCTGGTGCATTATGAAAACCCACAGAAAGCAGCTTTTCACACCGCAAAACCTTTTAAAAGGATTCTGTCAACACAAAAGCAAACATTGACAGCCGTTGCCTATAAAAGTATTTGAGGCTTCAAACTCTGGAAGACACTTCTTAGTTTTATTTTTTTGGTTTTCTAGATGTGGTCTACTCTCAGGCTTCAGGGAGATGCACTCCGTAATTGCATGAGTAAGAAAACATGTCGTGAGTTTTATTCCCTTAACAATTTCAAGACAATTTGTAAACATATCCTTCAGAAAATAGGTACTCAAATCGGTCTTTGCCTCGGTACTGGTATGAAATTGCCATAGGGAAATTTACCAGAGATATCAAGAGAAGTACAAGTCCCTTTGGCACCCATTGGCTCATGGTCTGGGTTACACCACCAAAGGTTTACATCTCTCTCTAATATTTTCTTCCTCTTCTCCTTTACCCTTTATCCACAGGTACCATTGTATGCTGCTGGCTGATAAGATGCACAAAGCTGATTTTTCTCTGATATTCCTCTGCTTTTGAGAATACCAAGAGGCAAGTTGCCACACACAGAGGAACCAGTCCCTCTCATATACTTCAAGTACACTGCTGTCATAGCCTTCTCTGGGAGAACATATGGACATGGCACTGATTTCACATCTTTCATCCCTCTGCAATTAGGTAAGTCATTTTTCTTAGAAGGAGTGGGCACTCAGCTCTGTCTCCACAGCTCCCTTGGCTCTCATTCTGATCATCTTATTAATGTAAAGCTTGTATAAATGCTTCCTATAGAGCAATTTCAGCACAGGAATTTGCAAGTCAAAATAGCCAATTAGTCTATAAATGACCAGATTTCCATAGTTTGGAGATGACTTACAGCTCTGGCCACTGCAGCATGCAGTTAAGAATGAAAAATCTAGAAGATGTTGCTGCTGGTACTACCGAGAAGTTGTGTGCTACAGGATTTGTACTGGGAGAAACTGGTTTTATAGCACGAAGGGCCCACTGGTTCGGAATAGTATCAACCTCCAGCTTATTTTATATTTAAGAAGCTTTTTATGATCGTTTGATAGGAAGAATCAAAGATGTTAGTAACTAAAAATTAGTCACCCTGCACCCATATATCCTGCTTCCAGAAATAATCATGCAAGTGATAAAACTTGGGTCAGTTGATGCTTTGCAAAGAGTTTTTAATCTCTAACAAGAGGGCAATATATAGCCTGCGTCAATACCTTGGCAGTCGAAGATAACAAACCTGCTAGGATAGCTTCTAAAACCAAAATTTCAGATGTTGAGAACCAATTCAATTCATAAAGATTTTGGAGCTCAAGCTGACTGTCAACTCCGATACCAGTCAATAATGATTACTTTGCAGTGATACACAATAACTGATCCTCAAAGGGTTTTTATGTTCTGACCTGATGTTATAAACTCAAAGGCAATCACTAAAGAACAAGAACATCCTCCTAGCCACTAGATGAAGTACTAGATCAGATCACACAGGGCCCCATTCAACCTGGCCTTAAACGCCTCCAGGCATGAGGCATCCACAACATCTCTGGGCAACCTGTTCCAGCACCTCACCACTCAGTAAAGAACTTCCCCCTGACAACCAAACTAAATCTCCCTTCCTTTACTTTAAAACCATTCCTGCTTGTTCTGTCTCTGTCTATTCAAGTAAAAGGTTAATTTCCCTCCTGTTTATAAATTCCCTTTAAATATTGGAAAATCACAATGAGGTCTCCTTCTGTTTTCCAGGCTGAAGAAGCCCAGTTCTTTCAACTTGTCTTCATAGGAGAGGTGCTCCAGCCCTTGGATCCTTTTCATGGCCCACTCTGGACGCTCTCCAGTAAGACATAGTCTTAAAAAACTCAAAATCCATAATAATAAAATCAACTCCATTTTTTTCTTCTAAAGGATTAAAATAACATGTCCAAAAAAGAAGAAAAATTCCTTTATCGTAGTGTAGTGCAAACCCTGAAGAGCTGTACTGGAACTGCAACATACTAATCTTTGAGTAATATAAAGGATCCATATAGAACTTTCTGCATCTGAAGAGCATTAACTATGGATCATGTGGAAAAGTCTAAAATAAGGACATGACTAAACTGGCCTTTTTAATGAGTAGAAAAAGAAGCAAAATGGAAAATATCCACCTTCTAGGCCTCACCCTGTGCAGTGACCTGGAAAAAAAAAACCTATTGCCACTAGCAATCAGGCTTTCCTTTATTATCTTCCCAGGGGGTTGATTGCACTGTCCTAAATGTGGGTGACTGCTTGATGTTCAAAATTCTTTACACTGTAGCTATTTCTCAGAAATCCAAACATAATTAGAAAAGCAGATATATACACTGATAACCAGTGTACAGGACGGCTTACTGGCATGACAGGTAAGAATTGCCAATCAAGCTGGATAAAAAAGCAAAGCTACCAGCATGCCAGCTGTGAAGTTTGTGATTTTCAAGGAACCTTTTACAAAAAAAGTAGGAAAATGGTGGGAAATTGGAAAACTGCAGTTACTTGTGTTTCTTCCAAGCAGGCAAATTTTATTTCTAATGCAAAAACCACATGTATTCTCAAAGTACCGTTCACCAGAACTCATTCTTTTCTGTTCTATTTTTAAGAAGTTCTAGTTAAATCTTGCATACATGATTTGATCAAAGGATATTTGAAAAGCAAACTTCTGAAACCAGAAAAGCTTTTATGCATTCTAAATAGTTAGGTGATGAGTTTGTTTCATTCACATTTCTCACTTATTTTACTCTGAAATTAAGGATGAACATAAAATGTTCTTCCAGTATTAGCTTCTCGCAGTGACAGAGAGTTTTTCAGTGTTCCTCCTCTTTTTTTTTTAATTCACATTATGATCAAACCACAACGTACTGGCTAGTACAGGCAGTGTATTGTACCAGGCACTGTGTGCACCTGCTTGAAGCGGCTGTCATCCAAAGACTTCACAATCTGAACAGAGAGGATAGAGATGAATGGGAAACTGTAGGCACAAGAGAGATTGCTGGCCCTGTATGGGGAAAAAAAAAATGCAGTAATATCGGTCTCAAATTGTGAGATGAATATGACATCTCTACTTCTGCCTTCTTCTCTTTTATCACAGAGTTTTGCAGTATCTACCTGTTTTTTGTATGTTTGTTTCTATTTATTTTCATATGTACATAAGAAGATCAGGGGGTTTAATAAAGCTTGCTCTCAATGGCAAATGCAAACTAGAGATTAACTGCCACAGTATTAGTGTAGTGTTGGCTACTTGTAGTGTTCACACTGGAGCCAGAACTCAAGCTGAATGGACATTCTTTCCCTTCAGCTTCAGTAAGTAACTGTTTCTGTTGCTTGCACTTCTGCGGGGAATTCACATTCAGCACTATCAGTTCCAATTCTTAGAGTACTGAGTACTGTTGATGCTCTATTTCATACCAAACAGCAGAGCATAAGGTGATTTTGTCTTTCATCTACCAGCTTGTATCCTCCCCCTGAAGGCCTTCAGGAGGTAACATTATCAATTTATGTAAGAAAGGAGCAGTAAAATTCACAATAAATTTGCTTACATCCTTATTCTTGTAGCGACAGTGGAGGGCAATTAGCATTAAAGATGACACACACTTATCTATATTTCACCTTATATGCTAATTCCACAACGTATTTCATTACAAGGTTTGGAAAAAAATACTTTTCTGTCACAATATGTTGAATTTTCATCTTTATCATGTGACTTCACTTGGAAACTATTCCCAGGAAAGATAGGTTAATATTTACAAAGTGCTTTAAAGATGAAAGAATGTATATTTACACATTTCATTGCATTCATGGCTTTATTATAAGCTGAAACCTGAAGTGAATGTTTCTCCTGTTGAACAGGAATCTGACCTGAGAAACTTTTAGCAGTAGATGTTTTACTTCATTTGTACTCAGAGCTTCGAAGCCATGAACTGATGAAATCATCCTGAATGCCACATGGAGAGAATGCTATTCAGCAAGCAGCTATTTTCTCATTGGGAGGACGAAGAAAGTAATTTGTGGCCTTTTGCATCTTTAATATGGGACAGAGCGTAGTCATTTTGGACAGAGACAGATTAGATCTGTCTGGGTGAGTAACCTGAGGGCAATTCATTAATTAGGAAGAATATGCAGCTGCATACGGGTAAAATTAGGAAGAAAACACATTTGCGGATTCATGAATGACAGCATCTACAATTTCTTCTCAACGCTTGCCTTTATGCCGTTATAAATGCTTGATATCACTCCACTATCTGATGGTTTATTTTTGGAGATTCCGGAGGTCCCTCACTAAGTACAGGTGGATGAATGCTATTCCAAATTACTTTTGCCCAGCTCCTCATCATTCATTTCAGAGCTGCACCATGTGGTGTTTTGGCCAAGACAAAAAAATGCAGTTAATTGACTTACGAAGCCAGGTTTGGGAGCCGAATGGCCTTTCTTCTGGATGGCTATACCCGGAGCACAGCTGGTGGGTGGTGAGCAAAATGAGAGATCAGACTCAGCAGTGAGCAGATCAGGAAATTAAATAACTGTTATGAAGCTGCAGTATAACTGGTTCTTCCTTTCAATTTGCAAATTTCTGATGAATGAGAACATTTACAGGAATCTTATTTAACGAATGCAGACAAAACAATGAATGTCATTATACAAGTCACCATTTTCCTGTTCTCCTGGTTAAGTGAGTGTTCAGAGACTGAAGATTGAGTTTGAAATCAGCTGTTTTTAAACACGATAGGAGAGGAGGAAGAGTTGGCAATGCAGTACACTCTCCTTCAAAAGATTTTTCTCTGTATACCATGCTTCAGAGATCAGAAACATCATTTCCTTTTGCAGCTAATTTCATTAGTGACAGGTGTGGAATATACTGAGAGAAAGGAAAAGAAAACAACTCAGCAAGCAGATTTCTCTGTTCAACATGAGGACAGATCACATCAGTGTTTTACTCCATGCTCATTTATAAAAGAATAGCTCCCAGTTCTCACTTACAGGCAATTTGAAATCTGCTTCAGGGTTCTAAAACATTAACAAAGAAAAAGAAATGAGCTGGATTTTCTTCTTACATTTCATGCTTTTAATGTGTCAGCCAAGGTGTGTTAACTAAAAAGTCCAAACGAAGTCCTTAGATATCAAAAGCAGCAGTGGTGGCAATTTTCTGTGTAGGCACAGAGGAGAGAGAAGCTTGGTGCTGCTGCACTATGCTTCCCTAGAGGGTCCAGGAGGTTCTCTGGTTCAGATGCTTCGATCCCTCAACTTTCATGCCCTGTTCCTTCCAAACAGCGTTTTGAAATTAAGATGTTTCTTCTTTCTTTGCAGGGGAGTTGGACTAGGTGATCTTTAATTGTCTCTTTCAACTCAAATGGTTCTATGATTCCATGATTCTAAGATGGATGGAGACAGAGTAGGTCACGCTCTTGGTGCATTTAATACATTAATTAGCCAGGTTTGTCCGACGTAACCACTGATTGTGAGTTTCAGACTATATACATAAGGTTATTGCTTTTTTACTGTAACTGAATCTAAGCTTTCTGGTTTGAATCCCATAGCTAGTGCTTTCAGCATCTCACAAAAGAGCAGAACTGGGAAAGCTCCATTAGTGGTGTGCCTACAGGCTTCTACAATTAGGATGGGAAAACCACGTCTGAATCTTTGGTTATTCCCTTTGGTAGACAAATTTGGGATTCTAAAGCTGTAATAATGCTGGGTTTTGACATACTGATACAAACTGAGAATACAGAGAATTTGATAAATTCTTGGAAAGCATGTAAATGGAATTTATTGATGAATTTTTGAGGGGCTTTTTTATTATTTCTTTTACAAATAATACCTTCAATGTGACAGATAGATATTGCCCCAGTTGCTGGGGAAAAGTTTAAATACAAAACCAAGACCTGACATTCTTAATAACCAAGTTTAGTTCCTTGGCTTCTGAAGGTCATCTTTCCTCTGAGATCAGTAAAGAGGAACAGGTAGAAGGTTACAGTTGTTAATTACTGCAAGAATCATGGACTCATGTGGTGGGATGGCTCACCAAATGAACACTAGTTTTATGGTTCTATCCACTTCTTCCTAAATTTTCATACTGAATTTTCGTTTCCTGTACTTTACCAAACAAGAAAAACATTGAGATTGGCAACACTGAGAAGAAGCTACAACAGAAAGGACAGTGTTTTTAGAGATCAGGTTGAAGCAGGTATGTTGTCAGCCTTGGAGTCTGCACAATAGATTCCCTTTCCATGTCTATTAATTTTTGTGTGAGAAATCCATCAGATGAAATACAGACTTAGACTCTCAGAGCTGTAGGTGATTCCCATGTATGGGAAAATATATTTGTATGGAATCCAGAACTTATTTTGAATGTGTTTAACATTGTACATTATCTTTCATCCAGGACTACAGATTGTAATTTGGGAACTTAATATCACATAAAAGGTGTGTATGAACAGACTCATAGCAATACCCACTTCCAATTTAGGCATCAGAAAAGGTATTCAAGTTTTTAAGGACCCAGCATCAGGTGTCAGGTTTGCTTGAAAATGTGGTATAACACACTGCAAAGGTAAGTTTCTAAGGTCTTGAAAATCATTATTTTCTTGTAGATGAGAACTGAATCCTTTTGATAATCACTCTCTTAATAACTCGCTGGAAACCAATTTGTCCAACGACCTAAAGAAAAAGCAGCATGTAGAAAAGATAAATCATTACCCATTATTATAGAAATAATTTGATGTTGGCATGCACAGAAAGCCTCTGGGACTCTCCTAAGCATCTGAACTGCCAGAAGTTAGTATTATTCTAAATCTAACTGTTTTATATTAATTGAACAGTAAAACCCTATAAAATATTGCAGCACCATCAGGTAATATAAAAATGAAAGTAATATATAAAATTGTAAATAATCATGAAATAAAAGTGCCTAAAAGGAAACCAGAAACTACAAGCAAATGAATTCTTCATGTGTCTAACAAGCAAAGGCACAAGAGAACTCCTTATGCAAGCTGTGCACAAACTTATGGGAAAACAGATGCTTGCAAACTTTAAGACTGAATTCTACATACAGAATCTTTTAGATCCCATAGTTACTGTCATACAGTTTGGATGGACCACAGGTTAGCAAATTTGAACATGTGAGAGTGGTAAACAAAATCCTTGGCAGAAAGTAAAACTGTAATAGCTTAAAAGACGAATTCCTAGAGGAAATCTGAGAGCAGATGTTCCACTCTTCAGACAAGATGTGTTCAGCAAGCACGTGTACCCGCTGTAGTCTAACTGCAGATCAGTCTATCCTCCATTTTCACAAGATGAAGGAGATGCTTGTTTACTGATGGAAGAGATTTAACTGTTGCTTCTTTTTCAATAAATATTTCATTATATAACTACAAAGACCGTTAAATGAAACCTCCAAACACAAGCTAATAGGTCCAAAGCTTAATGGTTCTTTACAAAGCAAAGGACATACGACAGTTCTTTCCCACATTTGCTTAGAAATGATTAAGTACCACAGTTCCAGGAAAAAAAGAAAATCTTATTCTGGTAAATTGCTTTTTTGTATCAGAAAAAAAACATCTTCTTTGCAGACATATAATAGTCTCTAAAGGCAATATATTTATTTTCAAGTAAATGTGAACAACAATCTTGGAGTTTAGACAATTCCCAGTTCATTTTGATTAAAAAAGGCAGAGATGAGAGCAAAAAAATAGCTGACAGCACAGTGCCTCACCCTGATTTGTACCTTTTTGGAAATTTCAGAACCAAGTTTTTGGAAATGCTCTCCATGGAGCAATCACAACAACTTCCATCTGCCTGTTTTAATGGCAAAAGAAGGACTGTGACTCAGACCCATATCAGAGGGCAGGAGGACATTACATATTGACACATGCTGTCAATCCATTTCCAAATGCTGCTTGGGCTTTTCACACTACTGAATGTTGACTTTCCTCAGACAAGATATGGCTGTAAGTATATTCTATCAGCATGACATTTTTCACCTTTCAATATCTTGTGACCCATACAAAGAGTTTTTGAACAAGTGATCCTAACGATCTTCAAGGTTGGATTGATTCATTGGTAACTGCACCAAAAGGGACAGTGCTTCCTCTCTTGGTAAAACCGAGCTTTCCATCTCACAAAACAAAGGTAAAAGTGTGTCCTTTGTGGCAGAGAACCATACCAGTCTTAAAAACCTCAGAGCAAGCCTACTTCATCCACCATCTTTTAGCACCAGAAACACAAACAGCTGATCATGCTGTAGAGATGGGAAAGCTTGAAGTCTCCCAGCCCTGATACATCTTCAATACTGCCTATCCCTGCCCCAGGTTCTTTCTCAGCCACTGGGGCTCCCCTCAGTCTGCTCAGGTCCCAGGCCCTCATGTCAGCCATGGGGCCATTATCCCCTGCCCCAGCAAGGCCACAGCAGAACTGGACACCAAGGATTAGCAAAGTGAGGTACACAGAGGACTTTCTATGGGAGAATGATGAGTCTTTTGTCAAGACGCAGAGAAATGCTGAGGGATCTCCTTCTTTTGAGGCATTTAGGAATCATTTGACAAACATCTTTGCCATCGTCTGAGATACATTTGATGCCTTTCACCAAAAGATTAGATTAGATGAATTACTGAGGTCCTTACCACATTTGATTTCAATGATTTCTGTTTCTATGACTGCTAAGAGCAAAGTATTTCTTTTTTACACTATAGAGTTACGAATTATATCCATATTTCTTACATGGTATCAAAACATATATGTTTTCTTCAGCATGACTCCGGTAGCAGTCCAAAACAAAAAAAGCAAACAAAAAAAAAAGAACAAAAACATGTTTTGTTTTTCCCACTCCTAAAAGAATGATTGTCTTTCATACTTTTGCATTATAACAAAACTGCGAAAAACAGAAAAAATTGCTGACTCTTACCCGCAAAAAAAGGAAAAATGAAGTAACATCCAGAGTGATAGGCTGAATTTTTCATCCATTTAACAGAAAAATAAAAGGAAGGAGAAATCATCGCTTCTGAATGTGATAATCCCAGTGGCATTCTAATAGCTGAAAAATATCTTCTTCAAGTTCTCTATGCAAATAATCTTTATCCACTTTTAGATAATGACATTTGGGAAGAGAAGAATAGATTTCCTGTGGGAATGCTTTTATGTCACATGTGGTATTTGGTTCCTGAAAACAGCAATTGATCTGCGGGGATCAAATCTACTTATACCGTATTACCAGAAGTTAGTCTATCAATAATCCATTTTTCAGACAAAAAATCAATAATTAACTTGGTTCTTTTCTGTACCCACATATAGCATAGGATATTCAGACTGAAGTTCCGGGGACAACAGGGCCTCAATGTTGTAAAAAGAGATGGGGACCGAAGAGTATAAAATTGCTGTATTGTCTCAGAGCAGCGTTTCGTTAAACCTGCTTGCCTACCTCTACCAGCAGGTGCTAGCAGAAGCTTGGGAAAGATCACCCAGAACATGGCACATCTATATTGATGCTTTCTCCTCATATACTTATAGCTTTCGGGTGTCTGCGTCTTAAGGAATCACTGAGATAATAAGTGTATCCTTATTCTGATGTTCTGTCCTTGTTTGACTTTTCCTTGTGAATATGTCTGATTGCATTTTGAACAGTTTCATACCTTTGATTTCCATTAGATATGTGAAACAAGTTCCACAGCTTAATTAGGAGTTGTGCCTAATCAAGTGTCTATTCTAGGCTGGTCTACGAGCTTTTTTTTTTTTTCCCCTCTTCATCTTATTTCAAAGAGATCTTTAGTGACTGGAATTTCAAAGTTCAACACTTTTCTCAAACCGGAACAGCTGCCTGTTCCATCCTTTCGCTGTGATGCTCTGGTACATGGGGTAATACATAATTGCCCTCTGTGGATGACAACTAAATTCTTCATTTACATATTATTAGCATTTTTGACTTATCACTCAGATATAAACGGAGTCCAGTGCAACTTCAAGGCTGGATAACACGAAAGCTGGTGCCAAACTTCCTGCAGAGGCCTGGAGGCAAATATGCTCAGAATCAATTGCCAAGCAGATTTAACAAAAAACTACAGTGTTGTTACCAAGGAAGATGGGAAATATCAGAGCAGACAGTGTCCAAGCCTTCCACACTGATCTTGGCTACACTCCCCTTACAGGCAAGAGGAAGAGATGAGCATGTTGTCTGATCAGGCTTAGCATTCTCACCAATGCCTGCTCAGAAGCAAAGTTCAGTCAGTATTGTAGCATATAAATAGTTACAAAATACTAATTTATCTGTTAATTACTACCATGAAAAAGGGGGCATTGTTATCCCACTTAATTACTCTGTGATATTTGTCTTAAATACTTAACTTACATCCATATAGCTGCATAGCACAGAAACTAAGAGGCCTGATATAGCTTAGTGAAGACAGTAGCAGCCTAGAATATTGAGGCAAAATGCCCTAAATCCAAAACCATACCCATATTACAGATTTTTGAATCAGTGTAGCAACACAGCTGTAAACCTGCTTTCTTGCTTAGACTGAATCCAGGCTTGCCCTGAGGCAATTAACTGCAGTATGAATACTTAAATTGCACTGGTTATAATACCATTTTACATGGAGTACTGTGTTTCTCTATTCCTTTTGCTGATGTCATAAACCAAGTTTTTTTAAGCGATACATTATTTTTGCAAATGAAATATGGATTTTATGCATCTTTTTTGCTCTATTCATAGTGTTTCCTGTAGAAGATTAAGGGACAATTTCACTGCTCCAGAGACTATTTCACTTAACAAAGAAAATTATATACTGAAAAATCATACATATTCTACACAAACAAAACCAGGAAGAGGAAGGAAAGAAAGAAGTTTGTAATGTCAGGCCTGCCGCTTTCATGTTTCTCGTGTGCTCAGTTCTAGCAGCAACAGCAATGGCACAGAGCTACTCCTCGGTTTTTACATCAGAACAACATACTGTGACTGTTCTGTGCTGATGCGTGTGACATTTTAGAGCACAAGCACACATTTCTGAAACACGGGAATTCCCTTCTCGTGGTTGGAAGGAATCCTTAGAAGAGTCAATGTTGATGTGGGTCTGTCTGATTGGGTAGATAAGAATGAAGGATGAAAATGCCTTCCTGATGTATTAGACCATCCATTTCTATGGTTAGGAGGATGACCATGGCCAACACTTAAAGAAAAGCCTTCAGGTCTTGGTTCATTCTCTGCTGGAGCCCATATCCCAAGGAACATTGCAGAAGAAACAAATTTTCGTTTGTAAGGGCTTTTCTACCACATCAGCTATTCCCAACTGTTTCAGCAAACAATAGAGGCAAATACAGTAAAGCTTTATATCATCAGATTTATCCAGCACAGCATGCTCCAAGGAGATTAGATGGATCCATCCATATCTGTGCCATTTCGTCAGCCTCACTCCAACAGGAGATCTTGTAAGAGATGCACTGGCTCCCACATGAGTATCTTGCATTCAGCTGCAGAAGGGCTGTTCTCTTTTGCTCTTTTGAGCCAGTGTGTTACAGTTGTATGCTGCTGGGCCAAGAATAATTGTTTCAGTTTTCAAGGAAGGGGACAAAATCTGGCTCTGGAAGACCAGTGAGAGCTAGTTAATAGAGCTTATTGGGAAAACAATGTTGGAATAGAGAATCCACGTTCATTACCATTGACACATACACAAAATGGCATAATTTCCTCAGTAATTTCCTTCAACAAAGGGGAACAAAAAGAGAAGTTGACACATCTGGAAACATTTTTACACATACTTTTTTTTTTTTTTTCCCATTTAATTTCCATAAATTGCATTTAATTTTTCAATTTAATTTTTCCATTTAATTTTATGATTTACTACAAAATCTAAAATGGCCACATTTCAAAATGAAATATCCAGGTCGACCTGACACTAATCCTTTATGAAATACTTTTCTGCATAGAATTCGGGAAGTTTCTGCTGCTGCCGTTGCTGATGAGAACAAGTGTCCATTCCATTGCCGAATGGAATTTCCATCTCTTGAAAGGCTCCATTAATGAACTGTTACTTTAAGGGGTCTGGAAGGCCATGATTTTTCTCACTGCACACTTGCAAGAATCAGATTATCAGGTGGATAACAGCAGCTTGGGGGAAAATGGTTGCTATAAGGTCTCATTACTAGAATGCTTGGCCTGAGATAGCTTCTACTGAATGGCTTCTGTAGTCAGCTAATACTTTGTTACCTAGGATTTACCTTTTGCTACTTGTTTTGTTCCCGATGCACCTAGCATGGACTCTCATTATTTCTCCGATTTCTCACAAGGTTTTTTAATAGCACAATATGGTGTATGGTGAAGTTTAGAATTGCACCCATCGTCATATTACTGTTGCAATGTCTCCCATCACCCCTCCACAATCCACTTATTTTTCTCATTTATTTTTGTCTCTAAGCTGATAGTCTCTTTGAAACAAGTACTGTCATTTTCTGTGTGTATCTTAATGGCACCTGCCACAGTGAAAGACCAGGTCAGCTGAGAAATGCTATTATATAATTTTGTAATAATTTTAATTATAATCAAAGAGACAGATACTTATAGCAACTCATAAAAATGCTTAAAACATTTCTGCTTTCTGCTTCCCTGTGGTGTTCATACCTTCCTTTTTCCTTTTTCTTATGTTCTGTTGTTGGTTGTTTTTTTTTTAATCTATTAAAAAAATATATATTAAATGGGTTTTCTCAGTGTCCTACTGTATCTGGTACTAGCACTACAAAAACAGTTGTTCATGAGATTCAGGAGAATTGGCTGAGTGGTGTCCATCTTCAGGAGGAAAGTGTTACATGAAAAACTGCACAGTACTGAAGTGAAATATGAATGCACGCTTTCTCATTGTGTTTCACTTCCCATGCTCTGCAGAACACTGCACCTGTACTCCATACTAAAGATAGAATGCAAGATGGCATGAGCGAGGCATCACCTCAACTGGGAATCAGCTGGGTAGAGGTCCTCCCTACACAGAAGGCTGAAAATGTCCCTTTGCTGCCTCCATAGCCTCGAAGCTTCTTCCTGGCCCAATGCAGGTAGTCTGCCCTAGTTCATTAATATATTTTAGACAGATGGACAGCTTTTATTTCACTTATTCCCTAGCAGTAAAAATAAAATTAAATGATTGGGAGGCACTGGCAGGCTGATTCCTTCACAGAATCATAGAATCATAAAATCATTAAGGTTGGAAAAAAACACTAAGTTCAACAAGTCCAACAATCAGCCCGTTATCATCATGCCCACACACCTATGTCTCTGAGTGTCACATCCACATATTTCCTGGACACCTCCAGGGACCGTGAGCCTACTGCTTCCCTGGGCAGCCTGTTCCAATGCCTCACTACTCTTTCAATGAAGAAATTTTTCCCTAATATCCAACCTGAACCTCCCCTGGCACAACTAGAGGCCATTCCCTCTTGTTCTACTGCTAGCTACACAGGAGAAGAGGCCAACCTCCACCTCACCACAACCTCCTTTCAAGCAGTTGTAGAGAGAAATAAGGTCTCTCCTGAGTCTCTTCTTTCCCAGACTGAACAATCTCAGTTCCCTCAAACACACCACATAAGACTTGTGCTTCAGACCCTTTATCAGCTTCATTTCTTTTCCCTTTGTTGCCTCTCTCTGGACACGCTCCAGGACTTCAATGTCTTTGTTGTAGTGAAGGGCCCAAAACTGAATACAGCACTTCAGGGACAGCCATACCAGTGCTGAGTACAGAGGGAAAATCACCTCTCTATTCCTGCTGACTGCCCAATTTTTGATACAAGCCAGGATGCCAATGGCCCTCTGGGCACACTGCTGGCTCATTTTCAGCCAAGTGACATCCCCAGGTCCTTTTCCTCTACACAGTTTATCAGCCATTCTGCCCCAGGCTTGTAGCACTGCCTGTGGCTTTTGTGGCCAAAGTGCATGACTCAACGTTTTGTCTTGTTGAGCTTCATCCGCTTGGACTCAGCCCAGCTACCCAGCTTGTCCAGATCCATCCTACACCTAGAAAGATCAACATTTCCCCCAAACTTGGTGTTATCTGTAAACTTACTGAATGTGCATTCAATCCTCTCATGCAGGTCATCAATAAAGATCCTTAAAAAGGATCAGCCCCAGACTGACCACTGGGGAAGACCATTCGTGTTCGGTCACTAGCTGGATTTAATTCTATTCACTAGCCTTCACAGACCTTGCAGGACAAGACTCCATTCTTCACACAAGCAGGTCTCTGCATGCTCTGCGATTTCGCTTTTTGACCACCAGATGTCTCATGAAAACCATGGAAATAGCAAATGACTGCATTCTGAGGAGGTGTATGCATTGCACAGCATGCAATCTTGGCAGCAAGGTTCAACTCCTTTTACTCCTGCCCAACAAAAATAACTGATTCACCCCGTACAAAAGAAAAGTTGCGCAGAAACAAGAATTTCCTTGAACTACAACATTTTGAAGACTGACAAATTTCAAGAGCAGGCTTAAGTAAGTTTGCGAGAACACAGAGAGCATTTAGCTCTTCTTTTATTAGTTATTTTTGCCCCAGTCCAGTACTCGCCATTGTCTGTGTCCATGGTAGCTGGGTGCTGAATGCAGTCTGCTCCCATTGCTTGCTTTTGCATACAACCAGGCCCTCAGCATGTAGCCAGTGTTTCAGCTAATGTGTTTCTTCATCCGTGTGCTAATGCTGCATTAAAGAGCCGGCTTGCCCTTGGTCTGCTTTGTTTCCAGCGTAGTTTCTCCTTTCAGAAAAGTAATTGACTGTAACTTGTAACTGAATTGCCCACTTTGACGTTGGAGCTAGTCAGCATGCATGAGAATACTTGTTTCTTCAACTTTCCATCTAAAAAATCTTGTATTCAATAATTTAATGCACTTCAGTTTAAAAATTGAATACCTGAACATTTACTGGTAGCTTTGCAGCTCAGTGTTTGGGAGATTTTTTAAAGAAACTGGACAAATCTTTAGAAATCTTCTGAGAAAACATTTACTTTTGTTCTCAGCAATTTGCTTACCCTGGAAGAAACCAGCAACGAGTTTTTAAAATGTGTTTTTGAAATGGTCTGTTTTATTAAAAGATGCACTCTTTTAAGTACATTGTCCAGTTTATATTTATAATTTAAAATTGCAGCTTGTGAAGCAAAAAGGCATGCAAAAAAAAGTAATACTAATTAGTAATGCTAATCAAATCCTACACATTAACAAGAGAAATCATAGTGCTGAAGGAAACCCGAGAGGGAGGCAGGAGGAAAACCCTGATTCCTGCACTACCGGACCCATACCAGATCAACAGAACTGCAGAGATGTCTGAAATTTCCTCCTGAAATCATTGTCAAAGCTGTTACCTTACTGCTTTCCCAGCCAGCAAGTTCTGAGAGGAAGGAGCCCTGAAAAATGAGCAGCTGATAGGTGTGGTGTCCTGCTGTGTAAATCCCAAGGCTGGAGTTGAAATTGTTGCTTCTCCATCACAAGCCCCGTACTCTGGTACTTCTCAGAGCACATTTCCCAGCAATAGGCTTCTTCTGACTCCCAAATTAAAGATGCTAAAGGGCTCTTCTCTTTTATGTGTCTGTCTGCTATTTATCTCTGTAAGTCAACCATGTCATGGACAGGTGATAACAAGGCAAAAGTATTCTGCAGTGTAATACACAGACTTGTAGTTTTCAGGTGAACTTGAATATATACCTCTAAAGTTTACTATTCAGTATTATTACTGCTCAAAGCATTTTTGCAGATTTCTATTCTTGAAGTGTTTGTTAAACAACTTGGAAGGGCATCTTACATTTTCTATAAATACCAAACCAAGTCAGCAAAATGTTGTATAAGTGCATGGATGACTGCATTCCTCTATGCAACATGCATTATGCAATTTATTATTTATTTATGATACTTATCAATCATGAATCATTGTTAAAAGGAAATGTAACACAGAATGCTTAGGAAGATGGGCACATGCGATTCAATTTCCCATTAACTTTGGAAAATATATAAATAAATTGTTAAGTTCTACTGTCTGAGTTCTGTGATGGTAACTACCAGAGTTAGAATCCAATGGGCTGGTAACCACTGTCTGCTTAATGTCAAGGAGGGTTCAATGCTACTGTTGAACATGAGTTTTCATTATTTATTAGCCACAAAAGAGATGTCATTGGTAGTTGAATGTTGGATTTCAGCTGTGTTTATTTTAAAGGAGACTGGACGTGCTCCTTTCCCCATAGGAAAAACCAGTTGAACTCATGCAGAGACATGAGGCATAGCCACAGTGGTGAGCTCTAGGTATGTGAACTTGGAAGAAGCCTGGGCTGCAGAGGACTGGGATCTCAGCAGGGAGGTAACCTCTGTGGCAGGCACCCAGGAAAAGCAAGCAGGCTGGTTCAGGCTCTGGGCAGGGCTGTGTAGGATTGGAGCCAAAGCACTTGTTGTGATGTAATTAGCTTTAAAGAGAGATGCAGCTGCATAAACTTCACATCCACACTCATCCTGGTGAAGAAGCAAACTCACATGACTGGGAGCCCTGCTGCTTTTGGAGGCACAAAGCAATCCACCTTGAGATCCAGGAGACAGCCTTCTCGTATAGGAGAGGCCTTGCTCCTCCTTTTGCCCATCCACCTGCACTCTTGCATGCCCTGTGGAAAGACATAGCAAAATGGTAGTGTCAACAGTCAGGAGAGCACTGGGCCTGTTTGTTTGCTTTGTGACAGCTCAAGTTGAACAGAGCTGGCTGGGGTACAAAACCCACAGCAATAGCTGTCTGTCATGGGCACACAAAAGGACAGCATGCAGGGCAAGGGCAGACAGCTGGAAGGCATAAAAATAGTGTAAACTCCCATACTGCTGACAGCAGAAACAGGTAGAACTGAGGATGGGGGGTGGCCTTTTAAGGTACAGAGAAAAACATGACAGAAACAAGGAGAAATATGAATTTTTAATAACATAATGGTTGTGGAGGAATTTCAGAAAGGCAAGCAACTCCATCATGTGTAAGGAAATGTGAATATCTGCCCACAATTCCCTAAATGTGACTTCCAGACCGACACCTTGAAGTCTACCACCCTGCCCAGCTGTGCGCAGAGCTCTGTAGCACATGCTGAACAAGTCCAGGCAGAAAGGGACAGACCAGCTCACCTCACTACATTCTGCATAGAGCAGATTGCTGTGTCACATTGCTGTGTAACAGCTCTGTTTTATATATACATTACACATAAACTAACTATTAGTATATTAAGACAAATTCTTTCAGATTTGTAGTTGGCACTACAGCAGGCTCTGTGTTAATTCTGTGCTCTGTGAAAGACTAGCCTTGTGCTTCATTAGAAATGGCATTAAGGGCAGCATAATTCATTTGGATATTTATTCAGTTAAAATTATACCAGTTTTTCACTATTCTTTATGTAACATTTATTTGTGGAAAGTGATGTTTTCAGAAATACTTGGTTTTTTTATTGGTATTGTTTTCCTTATTTTTAGCGACTGTCTGTGCTTATGGAGGACATGAAGGATTATTTCCAAAAATATATACCTGTATTTCATAGAAATTGCTTGAGGTTCTTTGGCAGGAAAATGAATCATAGAATTGTTAAGTTTGGAAAAGCCACTAAGGTGATCCAGTCCATCGAA